CGCCACCTCCCCTAGCCCCCAGCAGAAGTCTTCTCCACTGACATATTCCCACATGCACTAAGTGTGTAAAGCCCTATCAAGACCAGGTAAAGGGGACCTGTAACATCTTCTCTGCTTAAAAACGAGATCGAAACTACAGGTCAGTCCAACACCGGCCCCTTCGGTAACAGTCCTGGGTTTCCATACTGGGGGCTTGCGGATGGCCACAGTAATTCTCCATGGGCCTCCATCACCACCTGATAGAGCTCTCTTGAACAGATAACACAGTGGGGGAGACAGCAGCCGAGCAGGGATTTTGCCGGGCTTGCGACCATATCAAAACCTCACCTAAATAATTTCTTCCCAGAACAAGCAAGGATGGGGGGCTGGTGGTAGGGAGCAGGGTTGGACTTGACTCTGCCACGAGCCTTCCAAGTGCCTTAGTTGTGTCACTTCTGCCCCCTTTTTTTATGCGTCACCGCTTTGCAGACGGGATTATTACTTCTGCATGTCCCACGAGGTGTCCCTAGAACATGACAAAGGGGCTCGATTTCTGCTCTGAGCAGGGCTCCTACAGCAAGCCTCCCTGCCTTCCTCAGCACCTCTTTTTCTTCTCACTAATCACTTGATCCTCAACTCTGATGCCAACGATAAAGTTTTTCCCAGCCAATTCTGGCACAGGGCTCCTAACAAGCACCAGGCGCTGAGCAAGCCAGCCCCCACGCATGCAGCAGCATTTGTACACATGTACCTGTTGCAGGGGAGGATTGAGACCTCACATCCAGCTCCCAAAGGTGGAGGGTCTCTCAGAGAGCAGCCATCGCTCCCTCTTGGGTTTTACAACCCTGCTGCCTGGCTCAGGGGCTGGAACTGAGCTCCAGGCAATTCATGTTAAAGAATTACTTAACTAACTAGGAGGCAGATGATGTTTCGGGAAAGGGCAGGGAGAAAAGTAGATCATACCAAGACAGATGTGCCTATAGCACGATGAGCAGGAGCAAAGTGGTGAGCACCCAGACCACGCACCGTTCCTCCACCCATGCTTGGCTTTGCTGCTTTTCCCCCTCCCTGGTTCTTGCAGCCCCAATAATGCTCCCAACAGGTGATAGCTGCTCTCCCCTCCCTCCGTAAGCTTGTCCCTCCTCAATTCACTGCTACCCTGAGCAGCATGGCCAGCCAGGCTCTCTGCATCTGCCTTGGGCTACCCACCACCCATGCGCAGAGTGCGGCGCGGGAGGTGCAGCTGCAGGGACCCTGTGCTGCCCTCACACCAGTAGAACACCAGTTCAACACACCAGGCTGAGCCTGGAAGGGGGATCCAATCCCCCCTAAAACGTGAGAGGGATGGAGATGAAAGGCACCCCAGGGAAAGTCAGCAGCACGGTCCTTGTTGGCGGCAGCAAGAAAAGCAGCTGAGGATTTAACAGCATCCTCCGCTACCCGCCGCGCTCACTGCTCTGCTTTCGTCTCCATTTGCCATGTCTGCCCGCACTCCCCACCAAGCTCAGAGCAAAGGCAGCTTCCAGGCAGAAACGTAATGGTAATTGGTAATAAATAATTGGTAATACAGCCAAGCATTGCTCACGGGTAGATCTGCAGGGCCAGGCAAGCAGCCTGGGCTCACCTGGCAGCTACTGGAGTGGGAGGCGAGGGACAGAGGACCGGAGCCACTTCTGATGAGACACCCGCCGTTAGAAAGCACCAGGCTGGCTTCTTAGGTCCAAAATAACATTTTCAGGGCAGGAAGAAAGGGAGAAAGAGATGGTGCTTCTTACCCCAGGGGATAAGTGAAATCCAGATTCATATCCCTGCCTAGAAGGGATCCAAGAGCCATCAGTTCCCTTCACCCCCGCAGCAGCCTGGCCTGCCCCGGGGGCAGGAGCTCTCCCTCGACTCAACTTTCCCTGCAATTTACTAAAAGCCCTTGGGTTTGTCCCAGAAAAATGGAACAAAGAACAATATTGAAACCTCCACATTTTTTTCCCCCCCGGCACAGAAATCCTGCTCTCCAGCCAGCCCTGAGGCCTCCCCGCTCAAAGTTTCTGTCCAGCTTGGCTCCGCCAGCAGAAAAAAAAAACAGACTGGGAGCAGCTGCGGGGTTTTAACCATCCGGGGTGCTGCTTTCAGATACCTTCAAGCACCCTGACTTCCAGAACCCCCCCAAATTAAATCTTCCCACCAGCGCTTACTCAAGGCAAGGGCAGCAACGCGCTCCACGCAAGGGAGCAAGCGAATGCCGGCTTTTCGCTCTTTTTTTTTTTTTTTTTTTTTTCCCCAAATAAGCCCATACACACCCCCCCACACACACACACACATCGCACGTGTGTGTCCCCCCCCCCTGCTTCCCAAAGCCACAGGTGCCCTGAGCATCCCCCGAGGGGGAGGCTGGACCCGCGGCGCTGCGTCCCCGCGGAAGGGGATGGGGGGGGGGGGGGGGGCGGGTGAGGGAGCACTTCAGGGACACCCCCCACATCCCCCCCACCCCTCCAACTCCCCGGGACTGGGGGGTCCCCTCACCTACCCGGTGCCGTCGCCCGATGCCGGTGATCGGTGCGGCCGCTGCCCGCAGCGTTTCGCCTCCCCCCCCCCCCCCCCGCCCTCCCCCCAAAAAGCACCGCCCCGACGGGGCGGGCAGCGGCCGCCGCCGCCGCGCCTGCGCTGGGACCGCACCGGGAACCGGGGCCGCCAGCTGGGAACCGGGCAGCGGGGCTGGGAACGGGCGCTCCCCACCGCTGGGAAACCGAGGCTTTGGCACCGCCCGGCAGCGGGATAATGGGAGCGGGTTGGTCCAGGATCTGCCAGCGGGACACTGGGGGGAACCGGCGTGGTGAACTGGGAATCGGGATCTGGGATCCTCGGTGGGAAACGGGGAACTGGGGGCTGCCCAGGCACCGGCATCACCGGCTGGGTACTGGGATCAGTGCCTGGATCACCTGGGCACCAGCCACTGGGGCCTCCCAGGCACTGGCATGTGGACCAGCGTTGACCTGGCACTGGGTACTGGGACAAGGTCCCGCTGGCTCTGCCCATGAACTTGCACTGGGACTGGGAACTGGGCAAACTGGAGCACCATGCACCAACACCAGCTGGGCACTGCCTGCCAGGGCCACCCAGGCTCCAGGCAGCTGGGGTGCGTGAGGACATCACCTGTGGAGGATGTGGGGGGAGAATCATCAGGGGTTGCAGGATTTGGGTGCGAAGGGGACACCCTCACCCCATCAGGAATGGTGTGGGGCAGGATCACGGGGGCTAAAGGAGACGTGTTTTCCAGCCCAAGGGCAAAGTTATTCTGCTTTTCTGTTTTGCAAGAGGGAAACTGAGGCACTGGAGAGAGGGGGTCAAAGGCTGGGCAGGCGCTTGGCCCCCCCCACGCATCCACAGAGGTGGACACGCAACGGGTGTCACGGGACTGGCGATGGGGCTGAGGTGGCCGGACCGGCTGTGTCCCCGTGGTGGAAAACTCACACTCCGAGCCCCCAACAATACATCCAAAAGTGGCAAAATAAACTTGACTCAACCGAAAACGCATCCCCTACGGCGAGAAGGAGCCGGTGGGGTTTTACAGACCCCGTGTCGTGGGCAGTTCGGAGCTGATGCTCTGACTTGATGCACAAGCTTTACGGGCAGTATCCAGGGTTTAGCGTAAATTAGGCCAAAAAGAGACATCAAGGGAAGAACAGTTAAAGAAAACGGTTGTAAGTGATGGGAATAAACTTTTCATATTCAAAATGACGAGCCATCCAACTCTTTTAGACAACCAAAAAAATCCGGGCTAAGGCTTAGCTGCCTGCCACTGACAGAGTGAATGCTGAAGGACATCTGCTTGGCACATTTATGGTAATGCAGTGAAATTTTGGTGAGAAAATTAGAAAGGGGGCTGTGCCTGGACCAGCATCGGCCTGGCACAAGCTCCTGGTTCCACCGAGGTGTCACCTGTGAATATGTGGTCACCACGAATCATGTGGGTGAATCACCCCCTCTGGGCTTGCCACTGCCTCTGGTTTCTTATTATCTGAAACCCTTTTGGACTTTTCATATGAAGGTTCTTGGTATTTTCCTGTTAATATGATAATTTCATTACTTACTCAATTCATGCAGTGTTTGTGTTACAATTATTTTAATTCATTTATCAATTAAAAGAATAGGAAAGCCAACTAGTTCCACGAATTCTGTGGCAGCAAAAGTAATTTTCAAATATTTTCCTTCTCTTTGCTTCTTTTCCCCACTCCCCCATGGAGCTTGGGGCTGCTGTGATCTGGTTGTGCTCAAAACCAGGTCAGTGCAAGGGTCGTGTTTCGTGCCCTGCTTTTTTCTCCCCTTATCAAAAATGACCTAGGAAAATATCCCTAATATTTAGGGGTATTTCTAATAGCCCATATTTAGGACCCTATATTAGGTGTGGTGCCCGTCGGTGCGCAGTGCTGACCATCACCCTAACCCTGGTGGGAAACTCCAGCAGCAGATGGCAAAGACTGAAGGGAAAAAAAAGAAAAAAAAGAAACCAAAAAAAAACCCACTCCGAAAAACTAGACAAACCCTCAGTTTCTGGATGTTTATAAAGGGGAAGAGGAGATCCTACACAGATCTCCAAGCCCCAAATCATCAGTAACAGCCCTAAAACCAGCCACGAGGCAGGCTAGGGCAGGGACGGATGCTGCTGCTGTTCCCTGGGAAGGCAGGGAGAGCACAGAGACTGTTTTGATTTGCAATGTCCTTAATTGGAGAGACGCTCCATCAGCGTTAATTAATTAATATCATCATCCATCATTCCTCCCACCAGTACAGACTCCTCCCACCCAGTTAGCCACCATGGGCTTGCTTTAACGGCAATGGAGGCAAATAAGTAAATTCCTACTGTGCTGTTTCACCTATTTGACCCCAAAGATGTTAAGGGGAAACATCTCGCTGCTGGGGACACGGGGGACGGGGCGGGAGATTGTCACCCGCAGGGGTGATGGGTGATGCTGTGGGATGAAAAGGAGGAGGAAGGAAAAACAAAAATCAGGAGGAAATGGGCTTACCCTTGAGACGAATCAGCAGCAGGAGCCTGGATTTTATTTTGTTAACGGGCTGGAAAGCATTAGGGAAAAGCTGCTTCACTGAATTAAGGCAGCGAGCGGGTCCCAGCAGCTCCCATCTCCCCGCAGGGCCGTGGAGCCCAAGCCTGCTCTTGTCACAGGCCCAGATCTTGCTGATTAACTTAGTTGCATTTTCGATTTCAGCCTCAGCAGGGGAAGGAAAAATATGTAAATGCGATTTATAACGACACTTCGTTGCTCCTCAGCGTGATGCAAATTAAGCCGCGGTGTCGGGGGTGATGCGAGGGCTGCGCGGGGGGGAAGGAAGAAATAGCAACGCCTTAAAATTGGACCCCAAAAATAAGTAGGAATAAGGTAAAAGGCAAAGTGGAGGAGGAAAATTGCAGCCGGTGATTCCTCCAACAAATGGGATTTCATTATTCCTTCTGGGATTTCAAAGCAGGTGACTTAGTGACATTTTCCTTCCTCCCAGGAAAAAATTGTTGTTCTTGCTAATGCAGGGGACCCCCAAGGTGAGGTTTGGTCGTGGATGGGTCAAGGTGAGGGTCTGCCTGCCCAGGGCAGTGGGAGGTGAAAAACTGCCCACTCGTACAGGGCCATCTCTCCCCTTTGAGGGAGAAAAGTGAGAAAAGGTGGGTGGCTGGTGCCTGTATCCCCATTTCCACACCCTGGAGATGCAGGGAGCAACCTCTGATGGCCCCATCCCCAATTCAGGAGCCGCCTGGTGAGGGAAAGCTGGGCACTGCTGATCCCATCAAGTTGCAGTCTTCTGCTCCTCTTTGAAGATATCAAGAAACAAGCCTACTACAATTCCTCTGGACGTCCATCTGCACTTGAATTAAATGTCATTTTTCTGAATTCTACAAACTTGTTCACCCCGGTTGCTGGCTTTGGAATACCAGTAATGTATTCTCTCCTTTCCCTCTCCACATGATTGCAGCATAATCTCCTACTCACTTGATTTATTTAAGCAGGCCTTCAGATGCTCCAGTAATGGGAGTCATTTAGGTCCCTCTGCAGATATGTATTTATTTATTGCTGTTCATTTAAACTGCAGAGCCAGTTGGCAGGAGAGAGACAAGACTGGGGTCACAAGGACGTTAAATTATTCACTGTCAAAAATAGCTGGTTGAGAAAGTTAAATTAAGCAAGGTTGTTCAAGGTCAGAGTCAATCACTGATGGGAGGAGAAGGGCGTTAATTAGCTGTTTTATTTATTGGGGTCATCGTGACCAAAGTTGGTAATGAAAAGGGAAACTATAGCAACTCTTCTTGTTTTTTGGCAGAAGCAGCTCTTAGATGAGAAGCCAAATTGGTGCCTTTGACCACGATGGAGAAGTTAAGGCTATCGAAGGGCAGCGTTGTGATGCTGATGGAGACCCTGTGGAGCCCCGCAAGGCACGGACCAGGGAGTTCCCCCTTGCAGAGTCCAGCTTGGGGCTGAACTTGGTGATGCTTCTTCCACAAAGACCCTTGGGTAGCGGCTGGGGAGATGCTTGGCAGGGATGGAGGTCTCAGAGGGCATCTGAGATACTTTGGTCACTCACGCAGAGAGGTCCTTGCCTTGTCCGAGATGTTGCCATGTCTCTTGGCAGATGGTCTAGTAGCTGCTCTCTGTTAATACTTGTGTTTCATTTCCCATTTGAACTTCACCAGCATCTTCTTGCAGCTATTAGCCCTTGCAGTATCCTTTTCCTCCTAGTTTAAGAGCTCCCTAGTATCAGGCAACATCTCTCTTTCCATTCTCTTCTACCACACACTACCATGGACCAGGAAAATCAGTAAGTAAACTAGGCAGGTATGACCTGAAGTCACTGGGAGCCAATAAATCCACACCTTGTAGCTTATTTCATGACCTTCCACAGGAGAGCAGCATGATCCTGTCAACCAGGTCTTTAATGATAGCAGTGCCTGGCCAGAAGAGACGTTTCCATCCAAAGATCAATATCATAACCTTTCATCATGAAAAGGCCCATTTTTCCCCTGTTTCTGTGTAAAATGCAAGGTGGAAACCATAAGCCCTGATGAAACCTACCCTCTGCCTCAGCTGAACACATCAGCCACGGTTCGGGTTGTGCCCACGCCGTGATCCACACAGCAGCCAGCTGGCAAACAGCTTACGCTAATTGATAACTCTGCTGGGAAATCCATACCATTAAATTCTCCACTTAATTGTCTGTATCAGCGCTTGCTTCTGCACAGTCACAAATCGGGCAGCTTTTTAATGGGCCAGCTGCTATTAAGCAAGACAAAAGTCAACCAGCAAGAAGCTTGCTTGAAGAGGAATGAAAACATGATATCGGGGTTTATACTGCAGGAGAGTTGATGTTGGAGCTGAGATTAGGGTGAGAGCCATGGCCCAGAGAGATGCTAAGAAATTGGCCTTTCCCTGAAAAGCTATCAACATAAATCAGCAAAAGAAAGGTTATCCATGATTGTATCTACAGAAGGTAACTCGGGTATCACAAATCAAGCTCTGGCAGCACAGGGTTGCTTGAGCATTTAATCTTCTCCTTCATCCTGACCCTTCCTTGAATTCTCCTCCTCGGGGGTGACACCAGGTGACACAAGTGTGGGAAATGGGGCTCAGGTCCTTGGCCACCTGAGCAGCCTTTTGTTCAGCAGCGTATAATTAGAGGAGAGCTGGGCTTCTCTAACAGCTTTCCTACCCCACATCGATCTGCTCTCCTACGCAAGTACTCGCCTGCTTATGAATAAGCGACTTCAGAAGAATATGCCCAAGTGCTGAAAAAAAGATGACGTTGCAAAGCCTGGTCTAGGGATGCGCTGCAATATTAAAGTCAAATGTGCCAGCCCCACCCTGCAGCACTTTGGGGTAATCTGCACTTCAGGAGATGAGGTTGGAGCAAGCATCCTGGCTAAACCCCAGCTGGGATTGCAGCTGGGTGGCTGAACCGCTAAATTGCTGTGCAGAATGGGGAGCTACCACCTAAAGGGCAGCTTCGAGGAATCAGATGTGAACATTTCCCACCCTCTTAACCCACTGTAATTCCTTCTGGGTTCCAGGAGCTGACTGTGATGTGGCCCCTCTATTCCTGGGCTTTCAAAGAGTCTCAACCCATCTTCCCAACAAAGCAGAGAAACTCTAAAATTTTAAAGGCTTCCAGACATAATTTGATGGACCCAGGAATAGCAGAGAACTGAGTAACAGCCAGTGGTGAACCTGCATCTTACCTGCCATCCATCATTTTGCTGGAGTAATATAGAAAACAAGGAGATAACAACCTACAGGTGCTGCCCTCTGCCAAAGCCTCGAGACAGCAGCAGATAAAGGCGCTGGCCAAGAGCTCCCACCTCGCCAGGGTTTCTCATGGCACAAGCAGCACTGGAGAGCTTGGAAGTCGATAACATCTCCTGGCCACAAACCCTCCAGGACTTTGGTCATCATTCAGCCACAACCACCCAGCTGGAGGGGACCAGAGCTCAGCTGCTTTGGCAGGGACACACCTCTGCTTGGGAGCAGGCAGCGTTACAGGAGTTCAGTCGATGAACCTGATTTTTCCATGGGGTTTTCCACAGTGAGAAGCAACATGGTTTGGAAAACAAGCAGGTTGCCAGCAATCCCATGTTCCCTGGAGCAGAGAGGAAGGAAAGGAGCAAATGGCACCACTGTCATCTCAGCTGCTCTTTATTTATGATGGGTCAGGAGCCACCCTAACAAATGTTGACTCCAAACAGTCCTGCCAAGAGCTTTTTAGGCAATTTTACTGCTGATTCTCTTCACCCCAGAGACAAAAAAAAAAAAAAAATGTCACCATTTCTGCCTTCAGCTCCCAACAGAAAGACATCTGAAGCTCCCATTTCCAGCAGCCCCCAAGAACACTGCGAGCTGGTCAAGGCAGAGCCGCACATCAAGGCCCTTCCACACAACTCTTCTTGCAGATAAGCTCCTTGTTGTGATAACAGGACAAATTCTGATCTTGGCTTCACAAGCCTAAATCAACGCTGGATCAGTGGAATGACTTTGGGTTTACACTGGTGTAACTGAGACCGAGATTTCCTTGGTAACAGCTTCCCTCTCATTCCAGTCATGCTCACTCTGCAAACTGGTGGCTGGTTTATGAAGGACTCACAGAAAGGCAGGACTTTCTTTTCCTAAGAAAAAAATAAATTAGAATTTTGCTGTGTTTTGATCCTTGTTTCCCAGTTGCCTAACAATACTGTCTATTTAGAATGTGTAGATACATCAATGCACCACCTGGTTCCTGTTTCAGAAAAGACTTTGTCCTTCCAGCTGTTGATCCCCAGATGTCACTTTTGGACTGCCCTCCTTAGCTTTTGGAGCGGCCAACTCTGAGGAGGAGGAGCAGGCAGATGTTGGACCTCATGGGAACACCCTTGACCAAGTCCTCGCTACTACATATGTAAAGCAAAGCTCCCAGAAGAAAAAATGACTCAGATGATTCCCTGCAAGACAAGACAGTAACAGGAATAGCCAGTGGATCTGAAAGGACAAATTTCTCCAGGGATTTACTTATTTTGTGCAATAGATTTCTGACAGAGCTGCCTCCAACACCCACCAGGACCTGTGGGTTGGCCACTCTCATCCATTGCATTTCAAGGAAACAGAGATTTCAGAGGGGCTGATAATTTGCCATGGTGGCCACGTGTCCCAACTGTCCTTTCATCCCCCTGCACCAGGAACGATCCACCCATGTTTCCATCACTCTCACCCACTGAGAAATTGTCATATGGGAATTTCCCCACCATCTCCAAGGCAGGTATTTTCACTCTACAACCTACTCTCCTGAAAGGAACATCTCTAGGACATGTCCTGCAGGCTTCTATGGTATTTTGTTCTACGTATTGCTTATTAGCCTAACCTTGACCCCAACATCAGCAGGCAGTAACTCCAGCACTTGTGCTGACTCCTGCAGTTGGTGAGGAAGCCAACTCCAACTTCTGCTCCCGGACTGTCTTCGATTACAGAGCTCGGGGAAGTTGCCTGAGTATTAATTAGAGAGGTCACCTCTACATTTCAGCTTCGTCTGGGCTTAGCTTCAAGCACTATGGAAGCATAAAACCATTAACGCAATCAAGATTTATTTGCTGCAGTACAGACTGACTGGAAA